ACATTTATCATGAGAGTGTTGGGAGAACGACGATACGTGACGCGGGCGCAGATATAGGGGCAAAGAAACGGGTCTTGTGTCATTCTGGCTAATGCAAGCGAGTCATACATATGTCACTGATCTTTGCGGCCGGGGTGGATGAAGTTTGATTTGTAGCTGATTGAGATACTTAAAGTACCAGTGCTAAGACGAGTCATTTCTATTAACATTCGCCCGTCTCGTAAGAAAGACGTGATTCAGGCCGGGAATTTGGGGACGCCGAGGTGAATGATGCTGTGCTGATCCGTGCTTGGGGTTACATGATGGTGAATCTTGTGGTCGTCAAAGGGTCGTCGCACTAGTCGGGGTCGTGGATTGGTGTAGATGTGTCTGCGAATGGGAATCCGTTCTGTTGGTGCCAATAGAGTGGGTTGGTGTAAAGGGGTATAGCATAATACGGGAGACGAAGGAGTCGAAGAGCCAACATACTTTCGATATCCAGGCCAGGCGACAAACGAGCATTTGGTGTGATGCTCGAGCTCCTGGTAATATCATTCGAGCGAATCCGAGGGAATTGTGAAGAGGAGGCTCCTTGCAGGAACCGTGGAAGACCGGAGTGCGCAGGGGAAGCGCTTTCGTACTGAAGAGGTGTCTTACATGTCCATTGAATCGCCTCCGTTGGCAAAGCTGAAGTGTCCCGATGGTTGCGCTTGCTGTTGCTGCTGGCCGAAGCCGAAGCCGCCTTGCCCCGGCGGCGCATTCTCAAGCATGTCTGCGCCAGCCTCCTCCTCGTCAGAAAAGTACTTCCCAATGATGTTGAAAGCTTTCATGTATATTTCCTCATTGATGTTGTTTTGACAATCATGAATCTTCTCCATGCCTCCGGCTTCTTCAATATGAAGAGCAAAGTGATTGACGCTCTGATCTGACGGGTCTTCGGAAGCTTCCTTGTCCATATCTCCCACCTTCAGAATGTTCTCCAATCCATCAAGAGCGACTTGGATAATCTTGTTATCGGGACAGGCGAGTAGATCGCAGAGCGGCCTAATGCAGCCGCATTGCACCAAGTAACGGATCTGCTCTGGCTTCTGAAGCCCACCAGAGGTTGCGTTGGAAATGGCCCAGCATGCCTCTTTGCGAGTCTTGAAGTCTCCGTTGGACAACAGATTGATCAACGGAGGAATGATATGAGCGTCAATGACTGCCTGGATCTGGGTAGAGTTCCCGGCTGTAACGTTCGAGATGGTCCAGCATGCCTCTTTGCGGATACCGTCCTTTTGGGAGCCGAGTAGTGAAAGAAGCGCTGGTAGTGATCCACAATTAATGATAATCTGGGTCTGTACATCGTCACCGGTGACGATGTTGCCGACGGACCGAAGTGCAGGTGTCTGCACTGATGTTGATTGATGAGTAAGAAGCTCTACCAGGCGACGAGGGATTCCTGCTTCAATGACTGCCTGGATCTTGTCGTTGGCGCCGTCAGATAGATATGAGATAGCCCAGCAGGCGTCAATCAGAACTTCGTCATCCAGAGAGTAGACCAGCTTTGCGAGAACGGGCAATGCGGGAAGGATCTGAGAAGACTGGTCAGCAAGGTTGACAATTGGAGTGTGACGAAGGAGGTAGGAGACCTACAGTCTGCCAATCTGGCTGGGGCGTCTTCCCACGACAGAAGTTGCTGAGAGTCCAAGTTGCATTTCTAAGCATACTGAGCTTACGGCTGTCGCCCAGAAGAGCGAGCAATGGTCGTAATGCACCAGCCCCCAAGACAAAGTCTCGACAATGCGGACTGTCACCAGCAATGTTTCCCAACGCCCAAACAGCTTGCTCTCGAACATCGGGTTCATGGCTGCTGAGGAGTTCGACAAAGATCGGCACGGCTCCGGCGTTGATGACAACCTGAGTCTGTTGTGCTGAGCCAGACGCGATGTTGGTCAAGGCCCAGGCGGCCTCAAATTGGACCAGGGTATGAGGAGAGCGGAGGAACTCCACAAATCGGCTGACCACACCAGTCTCAATAACCTTCTCAATGGGTGGATTGCGTTCTTTTGACAGAAGCTTGCGAAACTTTGTAGTGGCTTGGATCTGTGAATCGATCTCATTGGAGAATACACCATCTACCATCTGAGGAAGTTCGGTAGTAAGCTGAACAGAAAGAGTTTGATTAGCTTGATGTATCATGAAGCCCTAAGCATGGATTTGCCCTCCGAGCATATAATTTTGGGCGCGTAATGGTCACGCATGGACTGCAACTGAGAAGTGAGAGGACCCTTGCGGAGCAGCGCGATCCATACCAAGTTGGCATCAGAAAGATGTTACACCACTCAGGTGGCAATAGGCGGAGGTAGAGAGAAAGCACGAACAATCTCGAGTCTACGTACCTGGCTTTCGATCGTGCCTCCCTCATCATCGCTATCGATTGAAGCGCCCAAAGAAGCACCAGGTGCTGACGTTTGTGTCCCATCGCGACCAGCAATACCTCGTCTCTTTGCTAGATTCTCCTCTCTCTTTGCTTTTCGGATTTCAACTTGTTGCTCTTCACGACGACGACGCAGCTCATCCGGCTTGAAGGTATTCTTAGCTTTGAATTGAGTGCGACGATGCTCCGGGATGAAGCGTTCAGCCATTTTGACGGTGAAGTATCGATCTTAGTCTTGGCTTTAGAGGTAGAATACACTGCACAGTGATGTGAGACTGTGTAGTAAATCAAGTGCAGTGTCGTGCGTACGTGAGTGTTGTGGTTTTGCAGAAGTGGGCTGCTTGGAACGGGCTAGCCATTTCGCCTCAGACCTAACCTTTACCTTAGTCCAGGCCTGTTCCGGTACCTAGTACCTCATGATTGGTCAGCCTCAGCTAGCCGGACAACCCGGGCCGGCTAGCCTGCAGACTTCTTTCAACCTGCTACCTTAGCGCAATATCGGAATTGGCAAACCCTCCAAACACTCCAAGACTCCCTGGCTTGCAAAGAATTAATCCCTTATCTATGGGATATGAACGAGCCCTGTTTGGAATTTCCATCATCATAACGAGGAAGTATCTCTTCAAAGAGTCTTAAGGTGAGTTTGTCTTCCGAGCTTCAAATACACATTCCATACCCTTCAACATGATGAAAGTTCTATTGGAGCTGTCCTAGGTGGCTGGAAACAGTACATGAGGATATAAATCTACCTATACGCATACTCTCTGACAAAACAAAGCACATTCCTCTTTCAGTCTTAACACACCCACGCACACCGATGTTGACATCGTGTTGCCAGCCTTAGGAATATTTTCCCCTTCCTGCTCAGTTGGCGAAGCTCACTCACTTGCGTCGCTTCTCCAACAAGATGGCCACAGACCCACGATTAGCACGTCTGGATCCACGGCGGACAGCAACTCCAACACAGCCTCCTCCACCACCTCCACCAGCAAAATCAGATCAGAAGCCTCTGGGTGGGTACGATGGAGTCGAAGATGCGGACCCAATGGCTGTATCACGAAATGAGGAGGGTGGCTTCAAGCTGAAATTCTGCACAGTATGTGCAAGTAACCAGAACAGGTACGCTTTTTACCCATCACAATTTTACCAGTTGTCCCTGTAGTTTATTTCCCTCGCCGATTGACCTAGCCCAAGTGACTGCCGTAGAACACTTTGTGCACCACCCAAATAATGTAACTACTACTTTAAGCCTACAACAAACACATTATTACGAATGCCGTCTAGGTCTATGGCTGACTATCCAACGCTTAGATCAATGGAAGCCCACCTCCGCTTGTCGCTCGCGTCCTATCCCGTCCTCTCTTTCGGAACCGGCTCCCTCGTACGCCTTCCCGGTCCGTCGATAACCCAACCAAACGTCTATCCTTTCAACAGCACTTCTTACTCGACCATGTACCAAGAGCTCTCGCAGAAAGACCCTCGCTTGTATCGCGCCAACGGCATACTTTCCATGCTTGAGCGCAACCTGAAGGTCAAATGGGGTCCTGAAAGATGGCAGGATTGGCCAATTGGGAAGCCGCGACTAGATCAGCAGAGGGAAGACAAAGGCAGCAGAGGCGCAGAGGGAGGCGTAGTGGACGTGGTGATCACATGCGAAGAGAGATGCTGGGACGCTGTGGTGGACAATTTGCTTGAGAGAGGTAGTCCATTGAATCGGCCGGTGCATATCATTAATGTAGATATCAAAGACAACCATGAAGAGGCGTTAGTGGGTGGAAAAGGGATCCTTGATTTAGCAGACTCGCTGAATCAGGCGGCAAATGAAGAGAGGAGGTCTGGAAATGGAAACGGTTTCGACGAAAGGGTGCCAGAGCTGCTGGCAGAGTGGCAGGAGAGATGGCCGCAATTGCCGGCGTTGTGGACTCTAGGGTGGTTTTAAAAGCTGGGCTTTGCTGGATTTTGTCGACCATTTTGCATTACCGGATACCCCCATGCAGCTGTATTATGAGACTTCCAGCATCTGAGACGGTGAACATGCAGTGATGCTATTGGGAAAGTGGAAGCAACTCAGAACATGATCAGGCCGTTCACACCTACCTTTCTCTCTCGGCTTCTAGGTGCCTTGTAAACTCGGGTTAAAGCAGACTGAGTAACAGAATATATGGATTAAGTCCGCCTTTTCTTGTATTTTGTAACATTACAGACTACCAGTGATGTTAGCAGCCGCGGTTGGGGGTTAAGGTAGTTACATTATTGAACCCTAGCTGCAGGGGCTGGCGGCGGCGCGGTCGATCGTACTTCGGAGGGTATTTATCGGACAGACGGGATGAAATAATAAAGTTCTTAAAGGTCAGCACAAAAGAGTCCTGGACAGCGCTAGTCGAGCCCTAACCCTATTTTCGAAAGGCAGCCCTGTACAGTACCGTAGAATTATTCGTGACCCCCTAAGCCCATTGTCTAGGCAACCTTTTAGGCGGGGCGTTATCCGGCAGCAGTCTTGGCGTCCAGGACCCTTGGGAAGGAATAGGCGGATTTTCGCCATCGTGTTTTAACACCGAGCCACCATTCTCCATCACGCAACAAATGCTCAAAATACACATTCTTATGAGAGAGTCAGATATCGTACGGAATTCTCATAGAGACTTTCAGCACCCGAAGTCCCCAGTTGTAAAGGTTGGACTTCGATTTTTAGATCCTCCATATAGTGAAATGAGTCTTTGTACAACCGAAGAGTGGGGATGAACCGAGTATACTCGGTAAAAAGAGCTTGGAATTCGTCATTGGGTATGCAGATCGCGAAGGAGATATCGCTGAAGGCATACGAGTAACCGTTGCGTAGTCGGTCAGAATCGACGTCGTAAGGTGTCTCGGTAATAGTCATCGAGTGTCGCGACGGCCCTAGGATTGGTGGATAGTAGTTCTCCGGAGACCTCCCTTTGGTCTCTGGTGTTGAGGCGCTATCGTCAAAGTTCTGCCGAATTAGCGTGTGAACCTGCCTTCTCCTCAACCACCGTTGAAGAGTCCTTTCGTCTTCTGTTTCATCGAGTTTTGCTGACATAGTAGCACGCAAAGCAAACCATATCTCATGAGCATCGCTGGTCTGCTTTACGATCCTGCCGCCGCGAGGGTATATCACATACTCCTCACTGATAATCGAAAAGGTCGAAAACATAGGAGTTGTAGGCTAGAAACATCAGTCAGTCAGGGTAGAAGATAGAGTTTTTTGTCCAGGCACTGAGTCTAGGAATGTTCGTGTTTCTAGACTCTTACTTGTTCCCAAGTCTCGCGAAGTGCTTCTAGATCTGACGGGGGAGGTGGTGTTGAGGAGTCAAAGTCGGGATGGCCGCCTGGCTTCAAGTAGCAGTCTACTTTACTCGAGTGGTGTAAAGATAGTTGTTGATTTGATGGCGATTTGCTCTGCGAACAAGACGATCTCCAGGCTTCATCATGTCCAAAATTCTAAGCGTTTGATGGCGAAGTCATAACACATTCTTGATTTCCCAGCTGCCGCCCCGAATCCCTGTAGAAGTGCTTCTACGGCCAGCCACGGACCTTCATATCATGAGAGATTGTGGGATGTATTTGTCTTCTTGCGTGATCCACTTTACCCTCAACCTGTGTCTCCGTAGATGATCTGAGTCTATACCATGAAGATTGTGTGCCGTTCGGAACAGGCGAACTTTTCTCAAGGTATAAGGCTTCTTTCTGGTCCGTGTTCGACGCGAAAAGCGTAGCCATAGTGGTGATATAAAGCTGTATTGACTACAGGCGAATTTTAATTCTCATTTTTGTGTTTATTTTCTATATATCGAAAGGTAATCTCCTAAAAACGGGCCGCCTGGGTCGCGATTGTTAAGGAGATAGATGTTCGGTGGCGGAAGAACTTATGAACATGGCCATGAAGAATAAAACAACAGAATTATGCCAGATACATGATTTTATCTATGAAATCTAATGAATCTAATAGTACGCCGTTTTTTATTTCTCATGCTTGCTGACTCCTTCCTCATGATCCTTAGCGTTGGGTTGAAGAGGTGATGAGTCTCTTAGCCCACCAGACGAAGCAGTAGTAATCAGCTTTCTTCGTCTCGTGCCTGATCCAAAAAAGGTGTGCAGCAAGCATGTAAAGAAAGCCCGTGATTCCCATGATTGAGTTTGAACGCCTGTATCACCGTCACACTGAATCACACAATGAAAGTCTCACCACGCTCCCCCTCCCCTCCTCGCTTTCCTTTCCCGCCATCTCCTCAAAGCTCCCACGGTCTTCCAAGTGCCGCTGAAGAGCAGTGTGATGTAGCATGATTACCCCGATACATCTTGCGGACAGCCTGTGCGGGCTGCGTTGATTGAGTCAGTCCAATATCAATGAGGTCTCCCTCTTCCGTAACCGCCATTTCGTCAAATATGACTTTATGGGTGGTAAGATTTCGAGATCTCTGAGCTTTTTCGGCCACAGGAGCAAGAAGTTGAGAGCCCCTACTTTTTTTTTGCGCGGCGGAGAGTTTTCGTGTTGTGGAGTTGGGTTGCGTAGAGTTGACAGAGTCAGGGTCTTGCTGGGTGGTGGTAGTGTAAGATGCTTGTTCCTTGCTGCCCTTGTCTTCATGCTCTGGATTGTGGTGTAGGGTATTCTCAGTTGTCGTTTGAGCTTGAGAATGCTGTTTATCTGCCATTGCAGGTGTGGAGTTGGGTTGCGCAGAGCTGAGAGAGCCCGGGTCTTGCTGGGTGGTAGTATAAGATGCTTGTTCCTCGTTGCCCTGGTCTTCATGCTCTGGATTGTAGTGTGTGGTATTCTTAGTTGTCGTTTGAGCTTGAGAACGCTGTTTGTCTGCCATTGCAACATGAGACTGTAGGATCAGGGCTAGTTGGTCCCGGGACTCTGCAGAACCAGGGCACTTTGGTTTGTGTGTGTTTGTGTGACCTCTCATGCGCCGTTCGGATACATACGTCTTTGGGCAAAATGAACATTTATATTGTTTGGCTCGGCCGGGCAAGAATATAAAGAGAGGATGAAAGCCATCGTAATTTCCATAGAGGTCACCGGCGTTCGAAAAATGAAGCTGACAATCTGGATCTGGACAGGGTAAAGAGTGAGTGCTTGATAGTTCTGCAAGTTGAGAAGACTCTGCAAGTTGAGGAGACGAGCCGGCAGACATAATGGTTATCTTTCGAAGATAGATAGATTGGAGAAGTCTTGATGCTCTTTGGTTGAAGTTGAAAGGTTGGGAAGTGTTTGGTGGAAGATTCGAAGGATGAGGATGGTAAGTCGTACAGAAAATGAACTCTTGGTGCTCTTTGGTTGAGGTGTTGGCAAGTGTGCGGTAGAGGATTTGTAAGATGAGGATGCTAAGCCGTACAGAAGGGCAACTCTTGGTGCTCTTTGATTGAGGTGTTGGCAAGTGTTCGGTGGAAGATTTGTAGGATGAGAATGGTAATTCGTAGAGAATATGACTTTTTCTGGTGAGTCTGGTAGTCTGATCGCGATCATTTCTGTTTTTTGGGTGCATCTCTATTTCTTTGTCCCATGAGTCAGATGCAGAGCTCCGAGACAGCCATTGCCTGATCTGGCATAAGACATGCCCGGTGCTCTGGTCGTTACCCCAGTTCCTATACGAAATGTTTCCATGGAAGCTCCTTCAGGCTTTGTTCGGAAGTCGTAATTCCGTTCTAGAACAGATTCTTGTCTTTGATTTCGGACTTGCTCAACTATACTGATGGCCGACTGCATCGTGGCTTACCCTATTGTAACTTCCGAGAGACGCAACTGATCCTCTTTTGAATAATGCGGTGTATAGTGTGAGACTTAATGCTTGGGAACAATGGTATAAAAATAGCCACTTATCTATCACGGTCCACAGTGATGAACAACCTGCATTGTATAATCAGTACCCTTAGAATCTTGACCGGTGATACAGCCTACATGTTCATCATTACCCCCTTTGCTCTCTGCATTGTATTGTCTTCCTTACACTTATTGCATGTCAGAACTCGTAATGAAGTCTAACTTCAACTCGCATGAGCTCTCGCCTCAAGAGAGTCAGAACAGTACGTATTCATCAGCCACTTGTCCAAGTAGAGTACGTTAGTGACTTGTTACTCAGGAACAATACGCTAGGGGAATAAACCCCACAGATCATGGCCGCGCAGATCGTACTCGAAAGTCAAAATACGTCCGTTTCGAGGCAGCCATCGACCGAAGGCTCCAAGAGTTCGAAGCAGACCAGGAGACGTCACAAACAGCTATCAACAGGAATGGCAAGCGACCTCAACTTGGCTACGATCGAATCGCCAATGCTCGTCGTCGGCAATCCATACCTGACTACGAAGTCAAACAATCTAAGAAAACGCCTGGACGGTAAAAAGGGTTAGATTGGCTAGAGAGGCAGGGCAAGGCCAAATTCGAAGCGCAGTTCGCATCGATCCTTGCGCAGTGGGGGGTCAAAGATACGCATAAATGGACCTGTGTTCTTCTCCCAGAGGATTCGAAGTCGTTGGACCCTATACTTCTCAGCAATCTGTTCACTCCGGAGAGATGCCCACTTGCCGGCTCTGGACGCTTCTCTTACAAGTACTCGGACCATGTGACAGCCTTTGCGCGAGCGGTTGCATGGTACCAAACGTGGCCACGGAGAGCAGCCGATCTGGACCAATTCCTTGGGTCTGCAGCTTACAAAGATAAGGATACTTCCCATACCTGTCACCAGGAGTTTTGTCTCATACACATCACGTATGAGGGAGCTGACATAAATCACGACCGAAAACTGTGCTGTGAGAGAGATAAATTCTTGCGCGCGGAAGGCCGACCGATTCCAGAAAACTGCACCAGGCATAATCCCCCCTGTTCAATACAGGTAAGCTAGCCCAGCTCCATTATCTTCTAATACTTATTGCCGTTAGCATGCCTCCCTGACGACACTTGAAGCATTCAACATTCAATTCTCGGTCTTACGTCAAGCAAGAGGTATACAATCAAGCGAACCTCTTGCAAGGCCACGCCGACATCCGTTTTCCTTCTTTGAATCTCAACTTCCTCTCTCCTCTGGCTTTACCGCAGTCACCTTAGGCTTAGATCACCTCCATCTCCATACTCCGTCACCAAGTGATAACGGCAAACCCGACTTAATTTGCGAGTTCTGCACCAGGATCAAGTCTTTTACAACTATTGTTGGGTATCTTGCTCATCGGTCCCATAAACACGGAGATGTTGAGGAGGCGGGACGACCGCATGAACGGTGTCTGAAGGAGATAAAGCGTGTTAGCTTGCTTTGGCTCTTATACTGGCGTCGATGTCCAAACAGAAGTAAGTATGGCCAATCGACTCTTAAGAAGCTGGAACAGACTCGGGAGGAAGACTTTGATTGGGATGTTGTTGAGAGTTGGCAGCTTCGTCGTTGATTTGGCCTCACTCGATTGGGTATATCAGGCCTCAGTTAGAATCAGGCGTGCTTTGCAACTAGATTTTGAGCATTCGGACTTACTCACGTTGTTGATGTTTGCATCCTCATCTATCGCAGTAAGAGTGGTCCTCACCATATTATAATGACGATTGTGCGTATTTGGTCAGGTGAGCTTCCTTCTTTTAACAATCTCACTTTTTCAACGACTCTATATCACATACAAAGATCCGTCAACAAGTCGTGCTCTTTAAAAACTCCTAATAGCTGTCAATCGTGCCCAGTAACGAGCTAGAAGCCGAGTATTGTGGAACACATATCAACGTTGCGGGCAATGACTTGCCAGTGGATCGTGCTTCCCTCCGCCCATCCCCTCTCCGCCCCCCATCGAAAACACACGCCAAACTCTTTTTCCGAACTAATGAGACGACTGCTCGCTTCTTCACTCCTTTCCCACTCAAATTATCTTCCTTGTTCTGTCGTCTGACCCCTAGATCCTCCTAAATTAGAAATCGCGGAAGACGTTTCCGACGACTCTCATAGAGAACTGTCAGACGGCAGACAGCAAATACTCCTCCAGCTTTCCACGACTGCCTCCCTCAACGTCCAGTAGACGCCACACCGCCTCAATCCCATCCGGAATCGTAGACCCGACATCGCAACCCAGAAATGTTAACGCTACAGCTACATTTTCTTCTGTCACCTTATCCTTTACATCAAAGCTGCAAGTAGTCTGAAAAGCTGGATCAGAGCGCACATCGGCAGGAGATCGTATTTCCCAGATCTCGTTAATCTGCGAATCCGCCCCCTCAGGAAGGCTGAGATGACGTTCAATCTTCTCGTCTTCAAGTTCCGCTGGAAAATTGAACTTTTCGCAATTCCAACACCAGGACTCGAACAAGATGTTGCATCTTTCCGCATCCCACGTCCTCCAATCAGGATATTCATCACCTTGCCAGTATCCCGTCGTCATCTCCTGGCCATGAATCTTATGGGCGATCGATGCAGTACATGGTGTACAATCGTATGGCCAGAGTTCGAGACCCACCCGGCCCCTTACCGCCCAGAGGTTTTCTCCCGGGTGGTCAGGGTCCGGTTCCCCTTTGATCTCCTGTGCCATACCGAGAAGCCTTCGCAGAGCTACTTGCATAAGGATATCGGCGTTGAGAATGATATCGTTGTCCTTGTTGCACTGTCCTCGCAGTACAGATATGCGATAATTGAACCAAGCCTCGCAGTCGGCTTCTGTCCATTTCGCGGGATACGAGCGCTCCGAGAAGGGGAAAAATACGCCTTCCCTTAGCCAAAGCCGTTCTGGAATTCTCTCGTATCTGAACTGACTGGCTATACCTCGAAGTTGTTTGTCCCGATAATCAAGATTTTCCTTGGAAGGAGTCGACTGCTTTCTTCTTCTAATCCAGGTTTCCTCGCTGATCCTCAATTGCCGACTGTATTTTCTCGTCGCGAGAGGCTGCGCGGTCCGCATAGTTTCATGTAGCTCTACCATCTGTGACTGAGTAATCGTAGAGTTAAGGCGAGCTGTAAGATCTCTGCCACATTCATGGTGCGTGTCGACGAGGTTTCGGAAGCTGATGGCGACATTTTAAGTTCTGCTTTAGTCCACGCTTGGGAAGAGAGCTTGGTCAGAGGCAGCAGAATCTTTGGCCAGGCACCGCAGAAAAGATTGAACGCCCAATTAGTAATAGCAATATTCCCGGAAATTTGATAATCCGATAGTACCATCAGAACAGAAGGTTATGGGTCGAATATCGTCAATGCTAGCGACAAAAGGATTACGGATTGTTCCATCCCAGCTAGTCATCTGGGATTCTAAGAGAGTATGATATCAGTATCATCTTGTTGGAGTGATGAAGTACTTGTCTACCTAATTTGCCTCGACAGGGTATAGCGCAATACTGGTCACGCCACTGGATTGTATCATCTTCAAGCTTATCGACCTGCGTCTGAAGCGTATTCCAGATTGTCGTTCCTAGAAGGTCAATATCTCTTTCGGGTTTTCCAATTTTTCTCAGCGCTTGATTTTCTTTCCGAAGTCTGTCCAACAGCCTTTCACACAAGGACCCTGGCCTCAGTCCTTTCTGGGCAGACAAACTATGCTCAGGTACAATTGAAAGTCCTTGTTTTAAGGCGGCTTCTCGATTGTCGCTAGTACGTTCTCGATGTTAACGCTTCGTCGTTGTGATGTTAGATTTCTGACAGTTCGTGCCGTCTTTGTTACGGCCAGCACACACACTTGTATTTGGGAAAGGGCGAGTGAGAAGGCGATCTGAGAGCGATGCGCTTCTGGTGCTGTCCTCGCCGGAGTCACACATATCGACAGAGGAACTGATGCCTTCCTGACGGAGATTTAGCCCAAGAAAATTAAAAGCCTCTATTGGAGAGCAAATGCGTAGGTCGGAGTTTGAGGTCATACGCCGAACGCGTAAGAGTTCCTTGTAAGGATGGCTCAACTGCCACTTCAATGTAATGGTTTTAATCCTGCAAGTGATTATGAAGATGGCCGTAAGGGATATCTTGATTGAATAGGAATGCTGCTCTGAAATGTTGAAGTGGCGAATTTCGTGAAGGAAGACATTACTTTCCTCATTTCTATTGCCTGACGAAGCCATCAACTTGTGTTGGGCATCTGAGTCTTACCTTACACTTGAAGCAGATGTTAGGGATTTGGCGTGATGCTAAGGTAACCCGTTTACCCCATGCGTCGATCGCCCCAAAATAGATCTTCACAGGTGAGACTTGCAATTTGATACTCATAGGTTTCGCAAAGATTTTGAAGACAAATTTGAACAATTATTAAAGATTATTAAGATTGAAGCTAGCCACTTTGGGCTAACTTCCGCATGCGACGAGAGGGTGCAAGATCGCGACTACTCGTACTTTGACTTCTCTGATTATTTTGACGTTTTTTAGTCAAGGCCTACCCCCAGCAATGCAACGACGCTAGTCTTTCTACAGGGGCTTTCATTGGTCAATTGGCTTCTTTGAAGTCTTCATGTGTGTTCTGAAGACTTCAGGACGTCCATGAAGCTGCAGCCAAGCAAATAGTATGAGGCCTAATAGTTACTCAATGGCGTTAGGGTAAACTCGAAATCTAGCCGCATGTAGGCAAAATGTGGTCTTCAAAATCTTTGCGAAACCTATCTAATTACTCTACTCATACCAGACTTTTGGACTGCCCTGCCAAAACATGGGTCGTTACAGTAAGGATATCAATGCGTCACCGTTCTGGTACCCGCTTGGCCTCTTTCATCCGTTACTCGGAGGTTCCCTGCTGCTTCATTTCACATCAATGGTGATCAGTTAAGAACCTGGCTAAGAGCATCCTGACGCTAATTGATGGCGGACGACGAAGGAAGAGTGCTACCCACGACGCCCGAAAACATAGCAATGCTACAAGCAGAAGTCGCAGCTAAGAGACAGCGGAGAGCAGATCGGGCTGCGAGACGACTAGCAAGGGCTCAAAGTAGGCCGCTGGAGTCACAGGCTACGGTATGACTTCATGTCAGCATGTGACTTCCACCAGCATAATGACAGAGAGGATATTAAATACAAACTTACTGCTCTATATAGGAAGACATAGGGAGTGCCTGTCAATGGAGAAGCCGACGCAAACTATGTTGCGTCTTTACAGAATACATCCCAAGCACCAAGCGGCCTGGCTATTGATCCCAGCCACGACAATACGCGCCAACGCATTGTCACCGCCTTCCGAGCCTCATCCATTGGATCCATCGAAATTTGTCTCCTCAATCCGCTTCCTTCATAGCGAGCCCTCCAACCAACGAAGCTCTCCCTCCCCAATCCGCTTCCTTTTCCGCAGCACACTCTGCATCCATTCATACGGTGAATACTCAGCGGCGCGGTCCAGTCGCTATACTACCCAACGCGTTAGGAGAAGGTCTTTACGATGAGAGGAGGTTCACCAGTCCATACAGATTCACGGAATCTACATCTTTTACTGGAGACGATGTCGCAGAGACTGTCGCTACAGGTTCTGCAGACCAAGAACATCAGAACCTCGAAACGTGGCGCTCTATGCCTTCATTGCCGTTCAAGGATGAAGCAGGATCTACAGACAGTGCCGCAAAAGACGACTCCGAGATGGAAAGCGATGGAGAACACTTGACGACCGAAATTCAACGTGTTTTCATGACTCTCAGGGCTTGGACTAGTTGCCTTGCAATTAGGGACACCCTCTCGAACCTCTCAGAGTCAATCTTCTGGATGTGGACCCAAATTATCTTGTGGATCCTTGCATCTCTCCCTTACATTTCTCGACGCGTTCTCAACAAAACTACACTCCTTGGGATATTGGCTGTTCTTGTTGGTCTTGTCGGCCTAGCGGTTTACGGATGGGTCGCTTCTGTCCATGCAAGTGTTCACGGATGGGCCGGTTCTGTTCTGCACATAGGTCCATGTTCAATCTGCAAGGCATCCAGGGGAAACTTCTTTCGAACAGCCTGCTACCCAAAAGACATCACCGCTGATGTCATGAACACGTTCAACGAAACTTACGCCAATTTCGATACAGCTATGGCTACCAGAAATCTTATTTCCACCGCTCCAATAGACCTTCGCAGCAGCCGCAGCTCCCTTCACCGTGACCTCTTGCGTCTCCGAGCCCTCAATGCTACTCTTTATATTCCTAGTGCCAACTTCGCTTCTATCGATAGCCAAACCGTCAATGTGCTCGAACTGAGCAAAGCAATACCGGACGTACTGTTCCGCTGTCTCTCAAGACTTGCATCGACAGTGGCAGTAGTGGACTACCAGACCAATGTTACGATAGCGGAAATTGCAGCCTTCCGAGCAGGGAAGACGTCTCCGTACATCTCTATCCCTGGAAAACGGCCTCGCCGAGTAAATGCTCAACATGCTCTGTCTATCAGATTTGAAGGGCACGTTCTCTCCTGGCAAAAATTCATGGAGCCTCTTTTAGCCGTTGATAAGGCCCTTCTCGATACAATCGGGCAAGTATAGATCCTATCGAAGCCTTGAGCGTGTCTCTGGAAACCGCTAGTAACGCAATATACGATTCACGAGTCCACGTCAATTCCGAATGGGGATTACTAAAACGATCTCTCTATTGGCTCACCGGCAAAGAGCCTCCAGAGACAAAAGCCTTACTGCAAACGCTCTCAGTGACTGAGGAAATGAAAGGTCCACTGCATCATCTATCGACTTGGTTTGGGCCAATGTGGCCAATAATTTAAGCGTCAATTTGGGGCTGGAGGAGATTTTGAGAGCAATCGAAGGGGGAGGTATGTTGGTATTGGGGGAGGGGTGCGGGCATGGACTTATTGAACGAGATGCTAGTGGTATTCAATGAGGCGAGTGCAAGGATGGTCGAGGGGAGACGAGGGCTCGAGGCGACGAAGATGAGAAGAAATTCCAGAGAGGGATAAGATAGATTGTATTGTGCTAGGCGGATAGACTCAATCATATCAATAATATCTAATACAAACGATTCGACAAGTGAAATGTCTACATGGCCGCTCTCTGTTTGGACAGCAACAACAATGCTTGTGACTTGCTAGTGAGAATGATTGTGAGAATGCTTCTATGTCTGTGTCCCAGACCGCAATCTCACTACCAAAAGCTTGGCGGTCAGGTTGGAGGCTACCTACTGCCATCTTTGAGTTTGACCCACTGTCAAAAGGAGACCTGTGCAACCAGTGAAGCATGGACATCTTTTAACATACCATACCTTCACTCTTCGGCGCTTGACGTTCTATTGTGCGCAAATGCTTTGGATCGTTTGTTAATTGTTTGCGCGTATACCCCCTCTTTGTTTTTTGTTACCTGGTCTCGATTCTGGCCCGCCTCCTCATCGCCTACATGTCACCACCTCCACGTGCAGGAATCTAGATATCTCGGTCTCTATTTCTCAGGGGACACAGGATAATATACCCATATTATGAATGGCCACTTAGGCCCGCTTTCGCCAAACTCAACACACGGCAGCGAAGTTTCACAATATCAGTACTCCGGCCCGCCTCCGTACTCTCCAACCCTTCCCCACAACCGCGGCAACCTTGTCACTCCTCCTATCTCAGGCTCATCAAATGGTGGTCAGCGACGGATCTCGAATGGGATGAACCACAGACCGGGCGACCCATCCCCACCACATTCAATAGCACGCTCCAGCTATGGAACTACAATTTCCATCTCCGAGGGTCAGAGAAGGAGGACATTAGTCATGGAGGAAAGATTATCGCAACACTACACAATCCTCAAGAGGTTCCTCGCTCAATCTCTGCGCGATGAGAAGGGCAATCCAAGACCAAATAGAGCGAGGGACAAGCTGTTGCGATTATCACCAGTCCAATTCCAAGAGTTGAGTACAGACGTTTATGACGAGCTGCTGCGAAGGCAAAGCTCTACAGGACAGCAAACCAATGGACCAGGCCAGGTGCCTCCTTACTTGCTCCCGAAGGACAACTTCCATCCAAAACGAAATCAGGCCCGTCAAAAACTTGCTACTTTACCTCCACCAAGGTTTCAGGACCTGGCGACAGACGTCTTCTACGAGCTCGAAAGAAGGTTTCCAATGTTCGCTGGGAATAGTGTCAGCCGCATTGGCAGTCCAGCTATGAGTACGAGAGGCCCACCAAGTCGAGTGGGCTCGCCCAACGGTGTGAGACCGAATTATGGTCAAAGAAATGCATCATTGGGAAGTCAGGTCATGGCCGGTTTGGGCATACCCGGTGCGGAAGGGTCCAGTGACAATCAGGGGAGGCCAATGGCGAAGACATCTCAAAGTAATACTATAATACCGAATAAGAGCACGATGGTGGAGGACGACGATGAGGAAGGGAGTGATATCTATGGAAGCCGGAGAGATACCACATTCACATCTCGGAGCATGGGTGGATCGGACAAGGACCGTAAAGCCATTGCGGAGTTTGAGACCCAGGTCGAGGAGCTACAGGTGAAAGTCAAAGGGTTAGAGGAACACGTGCGCGAAAAAGACTCGGAAATGGACAAGATGCATGAGTCTCGAAGCGAGGAGCAAAGCGTAAGTCTCAAAGATCCATCTCCGAAGTTGAGCGCCTAACAATTTCAATCAGGCCAATGATACAGAAAGGGAGAAATGGGTGACCTTGCAATCCGACCTTGAGGACAAGCTGACTGAAGCTCGCAATCTCAACAATAACTTACAGTCAGAGCTTGATAAAGTCAGAAATAAACAAGCCAACACTGAGCGCGAGTTACGATCCCAGGTGGACACTCTGACAACACAAGCCAGCGTGGGTAAGAGCGAATGGAAGGCTCGTTACGACAATCTTGACAGAGTCCACCAAGAATCGCGGTCAGCACTTTTGCGGCAAGACAAGGTCACGACCGAAGTGAAGCAAGAGGCAGCTAGTTTCCTCAATCAAATGAGAGCACTCTCTGAGCGAAGTAATGAATCCCAGGAACGAGAAGAGAATCTGGTTCGTCAGGTTCACAAGCTTGAAAAAGAGGTTCAGGAATGGAAAAGTCGATATGCTCGGAAGAGAACGCAAGCACGGACCTTACGCGCTTCCGCGATGAATATATCGTTACAGCAGTCAGACGCTGGTCAAGTAGCTAAGGACAGAGATTTTACAGCGCAAGATGGGCTTGTCAAAGACATACATGTTACCAGGTTCCAGATCGCTGTTGACGAACTGTTGCAAAGCGCGAGAGAAGATGAGCCGAATGCTGTTATAACCCGTGTCAAACCTGTGGTCGTTGCGGTTAGGGATATCACAATAAACTTGGGTGATACACAATCTAGCCAAGACGGAGCGATGCAGCAAAGACACAAACTCAGGGTCAAAGTGTCCGCCACAGCTAACAACCTCGTTACAGCCTCTAAGAATTTTGCAACGTCGAAAGGCCTCTCACCAGTGTCTCTCCTTGACGCAGCGGCTTCCCACCTCGCGTCCTCCATAGTCGAGCTCATCCGCCTTGTCAAAATACGGCCTACCCCTACGCAAGAGCTGGAAGAACAGGAAGAAAACGATGTCATCGCCGACTCTCCAGCGGACTACTATGGCATGTCCCGGGTAAGAGAGAGCACTGGTGCAGACTCGGTCTACAGCACCGTAACCGACCCTCGACGCTCAGTCCAGCCTGCGACTCAAGGTAAATCGGCAAAATTCGCCCAAAATGGCTTCCCCAATGGCGGGCAATATGGTACTGGCTCCAAGCCTACGCACGGCATCTACAAGTCTCCGGACAACAAAATGGAAGAGCTCAGGGTAAGTTTTCCTTTTTCTTCCCCCCGCCGCCCTTTGAAGTATGGCTAACAATTCCAATCAGATTTTCCTTGAATCCCGCACTGATCACCTTATTCCCTCGATCCAAGCGCTCGTCTCCTCTATCCGGACGTCTGCTGAGGCTCCAGACATTCTCGACCATCTCGCAGCGATTGTATCCACTACCTCTCAAATCATTGCCAAAACGCACGACGCCTCGCCCAGCGAGCAGTCGGTGCAAAAACTCGTGCTCAGCTTATCAGAATGTGTTGACAGACTCGAGGATAAGGGCAGGGAAGGTGAGGGCATTGATGACGATAGGGATTGGGGCATCTTTGTGAAAGGTCTGCCGCCGCTGGCGTTCGAGATTGCAAGGAGTGCGAAAGAGTTACGAACGTGGGTTGAAGGGAAAGGAGACAAGGAGTGAGGAGGATCGGGCTGATCCAATGTACAGTATTTAATCACTGGTGTGCTGATGGGTTTGGATCTGCATGACACGGCGTCTTGGGATGGAAAGGCCTGAACATGCCTGACACCATGTCTGATGTGGCATATATTTTGGTTCTTACGGTTTATACAGGATTTAATCGAACACCAATCCTTCTGTCCGTGGAGGATACGCTTCATTCGTTGCCAAGGCTTGCCAAATATTCAATCCCAAGTAATCGATTGCGTATACCTATGATTCGTCAAGTGAATAAAGAAATAAAGAAGGACCAGCCATCATACTCAAGAAACGTGTCCTTGAGAGCAGGATTTCGACGCATTGTTGCCGTCTCTGAATAAATAGCGCTCCCTCGAATTAAGTATTCCAAACTGAGTAGCCCTTTACATTCATTACCGTGTCAGACGTCGAAGACACGTTATGTTCAAACCTCGGGCCACCTACCGTCGACACAGCTTCCATCCAGCTCGACAGAAAAATCACACCCCGTACCATCGCAGCTAGCATTGCGAGTAGCTCACTGCTCACTTCAACCAGACACGACATGAGTGTGACGGTAACATCCAACTTTGACACTATAACAGCCCCAGCCAACCTGTCCTTTCCCTTTTCCTCTCTTCCATCTGAGATCCGCAATACGGTCTACGTACATCTCTTACTGACCCCAGGCGCCAACAAGACTATCACGCCCGACCTAATTCGCAGCCACCGTGATGAGTATGCCCTTTCAGAGTGGCTCTACGTGGTCGGATCTGACGATGGTCCTCCTCGTCAGGATCCCAATGATGCCAGTGTCCACAGTCAATATGGGTAGTGGCCTTCCCTTTTTGCACAAAGTGCCAGCAAATGCATAAGGAAGCGACAGCGGTGTTGTATGGCAATCACGTGTTCCGATTTGACGACACGCAGTATGGTTAGGGACGTCGTGATCGAGTTTTTCCAAAGCGTACTGGTACTGTATGGAAGAGAATTTCAGGGGACCTTCTTGGGGCCACTACCTTCATTTTCCATACTGCGACTACGTGCCCATGCATCTCCGGCTTGATCGCATTGAGGAAAAGAATCGATTCGAGATCAGGCATCTCTAGCTCACTTTCTCTCGCAAACTATTTATTGAGTATTTGGGTAATAATGTTAGCGAGATATACTGGAACCAGAGTCTGGCTGTCTTGTAGGCAATGCTCTGGAGCTTCTGTTGGAGAAATAAGACCTCCGAACCGTGATATCACGCCCACAGAAACACAAGCAATCCCTGGGCTGGAAGCAATGGAGGAGAAGACGAAACATAAAGCGAAACTTTCTGGTGCCGA